AAGCCTCCCCAATGGAAACTCAAACAATAAAAACCAACCTAAACGACGAAGACGAGTATTCTTCCACCGAGGAAACAAATGAAATCACTTTCTCAGCCCCTAAAACAAACAAAAACTTCAGGCGCAACAATCCTCAATTAACTAGCACTAAAGCTCTTAATAACCTCACACTACTCCTAGCCTACATGCATAAGCAAAACTCACCAAATGCTAGTACTAAAGCTTTTCACCCAGTAGCGCAAAAACTAAAACTCACAACTCTCTCCTTTGAGTTATTTCTCTCCCAACTTAGGGAAGCTACCAATTAAACACAACCTAAAACTCAAAACAAACTAATAACCTCTCATCCCCCAAAATGGAAGGACTAAATATATTTCAGTGGAACGCCAACGGATTAGCCTCCCACGGCCAGGAATTAAAAGCTAAATTCAAACGAGACAAAGGTCCACACATAGTCTGTATACAGGAAACTAAATTCTCTGCTAGATCTAAATTCACCCTACCAAACTATAACTCAATAAGAACTGACCGAGCCAAAACAAACCCAGGTAGAGCCGGAGGCGGCCTAATCATATACGTCAGGGAAGACTTTAGCTATAAAGAACTAAAAATAAACACACCAAACCTAGAAGCAAACGGTATCCAAATAACAAATAACAACCAAAAAATTAATATCATAAATATATACCACTGGGTAGAAAAACAGGTCAAACCTGAGGATTTAAACACCCTCCTCCAAATAGGCAATACATCTACACTCTTCCTAGGAGACTTTAATGCCCACCACCCTACCTGGAGTATAGAAGATAAAATAGATAACCACGGATAACTCATCTCAGACTGGAAAGAACAAAATGACCTAATACTACTAAATAACAACCAACCTACTAGATACGACAAAATACACCACAAAATGTCGGCTATCGACTTAACCATATGCACCCCAGATTTAGCCCAAAGTATTCAATGGGAAGTACACGGGGTACCACTAGGTAGTGACCACTTCCCCATAAATATAACTATAGGAGACATAAACATCCCAACACCAACCCAAATCAGGAACCTAAATTCCACTACAACAAAGCCGACTGGGACAAATTTCAGGAAATTTGCAACCAGGCTAACCAAGCTGACCTAGAAAGTAACGACCCCGAAATCTACTGTAAAAACCTCACTGACTATGTAATAAACGCAGCTAAAAACTCCATTCCTTTCAAAACAACCAACATAGACAAACCCTCGGTTCCTTGGTGGAACGAGGAGATAGAACAAACTAGACGTAAACGCAAATCCGCATTCAATAAAGCCAAACGTGACTTCAAACACCTAAAGATAGCACATGAACTAAATCACAAAGTACAAAGCTTAGTTAAAACAGCTAAAACTAGAGACTGGAAATTTTTTTGCGAAGAAATTAACCATCATACAGACGCCAGAACAGTTTGGCGCAAAATCCACGCCATTAGGGGCATTAAACGACATAAAAAAAAGCTCCGAACATAAACAATTCAACAAACCCCACTGAAAAAGCTAATAACCTAGCAAATCACTTCTCGGCCGTCAGTAGCAATAGCAACTTCAACCAAAAATTCCAGGAACAACTAAAATCAGAAACCAAATTTACCAAAGAGCCAAAAGATAATAACCTAGAAATTAATCTCCATTTCACAATGGAAGAACTCCTCCACGTCCTACAAAATAGGAAAAAGGGCACAGCCCCAGGCTTAGACCTCACTTCCTACCAGATAATTAAACAACTACCACCCAAACTACTCCAAACTCTTCTAAAACTCTATAACCTCATATATCTAAACGGACAGGTCCCATCACCTTGGAAACAAGCCCTGGTCATACCAATCCCCAAACCCAATAAACCAGCTGACCAGGCTTATTCATACAGACCAATCTCCCTAACTTATAACTTATGCAAAGTAATGGAATCAATGGCAAAAAACAGGTTACAACACTACTTAGAACAAAACAACATAATAAATCCAGACCAAAGCGATTTCACTCCTCGACGCTCAACCTTAGATAACCTCGCCCGACTAGAGCAAGACATTAAAACAGGCCAACTTAACAAACAATATACTACAGGCATCTTTCTAGACTTCTCCAAAGCATTCGACATGGTTTGGCATAACGGGCTAATACAAAAACTACAAAAAATAGGTCTCAAAGGTCAAATAATTAACTACATCCAAAGTTTCCTAACAAACCGCAAAATCACCGTGGGCATAGACCAAACGCTATCGGACCAATGTCCCCTAGAAAATGGCACTCCCCAGGGCAGCATCCTAAGCCCAACACTCTTCAATATTATGATTAACGATCTATTCGAGGGACTACCCCCCAAAGTAAACACATCAAAATTAGCGGATGATGGAGCCCTCTGGATCCGCACTAAAAGCATTAAAATGGCCCAAAACTTACTACAAAAATCTCTAAATAAAATATAAAAATGGGCTGACAAATGGGGCTTCTCCCTAAACTCAGAAAAAACCACAGGAATAGTATTTAAACATAAAAATATGCAACCCGCCTCCCTAAACCTCAAACTAAACAACAAACCAATCAAATTCCAAAACCAACCCAAATTCTTAGGATTAATCTTCGATGAACATCTCACCTGGGATGCTCACGTTAAAAACCTAGTAACCAGATGCAGCAAAGACCTAAACACGTTAAGATGCCTAACCGGCTCCAACTGGGGGGCCTCTAAAAACACCCTCCTCTCACTCTATATATCACTAATTAGATCCAAACTAGACTATGGCAGTGCCATTTACGACATCCTAAACAACTCTCTCATTAAAACACTAGACTCAATCCAGTATCAGGCCCTAAAACTAATCACACGAACTCAACATGGCACCTCCTCCACCTCACTCCAGGCCTTAACATGAGAAATGCCACTTAAACTACGTAGGGAACAACTTACCCTAAACTTCTGGGCCGCGCCCCAATCAAACCCTCTAATCGAAAACTTAATAAAAAACAATATTAGCCCTAGAAACCAAGCCCTAGCCCGGAAACATCCATTACTTACTCCAATTTCCCAAAGAATAACCAATTACCTAAATGAACACAAAATAAATAATCTTAAACAAAACAATAAATCATCCAATATCTTCACTCCAAAACTTAAAATACCAAAAATAGACACAACACTAGCCGATACACTAAATAAACAGACCGATCCTAACATCGCTAAAACCACCACACTAGCATACATACATGAAAATTGGGCAAATTGGTGTCACATATACACAGACGGATCCTCAGATCCGATCTCAAAACACACAGGTTTCGGAGTCCACATCGCACAACCAACCAAACACACAATCTTACCGACTCCCAAACAACCAATCCATATTCACGGCCGAACTGATGGGCATGGCCTCAGCACTACACAATCAGCAATCTAAAAAACACCAAAAAATCCACATCCTAACCGACTCCCTCAGTGGACTACAAGCCCTCAAAAATAAAAACACTAAAAACCACCCCAAACTAATAAATCAAATACTCAATAGCTCAAACAACTTAACTAAGGCAGGTAAACAAATAGAGTTCATTTGGATCCCCGCCCACGTAGGAATCTTTGGAAATGAAAAGGCAGATAAAGCAGCAAAATTATCCCTTAAACTCCCAGAAATAAGCTTAAACTTACCCAGCTCAAAATCAGAAATCAAAAGTGTCACTAAACAAAAAATCAACAAAAATGGCAAAATATTTACCAAAACTCAAATAGCCAAATCAGGAAAGTACTAAAAAAAACCTAAATAAACCAAAAATACTACACTCATCCATACAAATCGACAGAATAATTACTAAACTGCAAACAGGCCACACCAAACTAAATAATCACCGTAAAATAGCTAATCTACACAGGACTAATTAGTCGCACTTAAACCCCAAATAAAATATTAAAACCAAAACTACCTTATCTAACAACCACCCAACACAAACAGCTCCCTTAGTTCGTCCCCCACCCACTCTTGGCATTCTTTCCAAATCTCAAAATTTCAAAATTACTATATAAGCAACCCCTAAAGCCCCCCTCCTGGGTTGTACAAACTCACTTTTCCCTTTTTGGAAACACATTAAATGGCCTGGCCGGGCCCGTGTGCGACATACGCTTGCAGTCGGAAAGCGCACGTTAAATCTCCAATATAAGTAAGTAAGTAAAGTAGTTATTACATCATTTGCTTGATAACGGTGTTAGAATCTACACCGAAACGTCGCCCAATTGTAATAAAGAAGTTGCTCATCCATAACAATTTTGTCTTAGATAATTATATATCTGTGTGAAAATCATGGACACGACTCTTATACAACTTTTGTCGCGATTGCAAAAGAAAAGTTCCAACATGATGTTATTGTGGTAGGAATAATTTGGTCACGAAAACTAAGAAATGTATTCGTAAATTCCGATATGGATACCGATGGAAAGTTCAATAGGGAGAATACTAACAGTTAATTATTAAGTAAGTGAAAAGACAAGTGCTTCCAAGGATGATTGTGCAAACCAGGTCAGATTGATACATTTGTGAAATACCACATTCGCAAGCGCCCTAAACATTTGACTTCTTTATGTACAATCTGGTGGATATATCAATGTTGAAGGTGGAATCTGCAAACATTTTCCTTCTTTCTTGTTTGTCCGCGGTAGACAAATAGAAGTGAGAAACATCCGCGCGTTTACTCAAATGTCCACAAATTCCGTCTGTTATGAGAACTATGAAAGCTTGAAATACTGGTATTTAATACAGATCCTGTCTGTGTCTTTGTTTCACGCATTTATTGAGGATGTAAAGAAGTTGCAGATGTCATATCTAAACAATGAAATTTATACCTTGCTATGGCACTTGAAACAAAAGACTGAGATTAACATATATATGCAGATATGTACTATGACAAATGTGAGCGGTTAGTGGGTAGCCTTATTTTGAGATAACAGAGTTCGACGAAAATATACGTCTGCGTGGTTGATTTACCTGAAGGAATAACAACTTGGTCATCTTCTACAGGTAGTACCCCCGATGTCCAGGACGTTGTGTCCCCCCAGTTCTCCAGCCCAGCCTCTAGGTGAGGACAGGCACTTTCTCCCACCCCCACGGACAAACATACTATAGCTAGCTGCAGCAACACTCGCATCTTGGATGAATGTTTACTAACATGAATATACGGTCATATTTATATTCAAGGGGTTCCGCGGACATGACGTCACAGATGAAGCTGACTATTACTACATAATCCCATCGTGTGCTGGGTGAACGAGTCACAGTTCACCGTCAGCTGAACGTGAAGCGTTTGGTTTTCAATAAACAAATGAACAATACAAACAAGATATAGATAAGCCAAACACTTGAGGCCATCGAGCGGACAGACGTTCTTGATTACAATCTCTACCTGTTATGCTCCCGATAGCCTCGATAATACCGTACTTTCATAACTAGCTCAATCAAAATCATGCAATTGGTATAGATGATATATAAGTGCATCCTTTTTGATAACAATGGTTACCCATGATAAGAACGTGTCTTATATTCAGCTGGAATGATTACGACAATGTTGTGATGAATAAATACTAGTATGTATTACTGGATGTAAATAGGTAAATATGACAAATATATTTCGTTAGGGTGACAGTGTCAAACAAAATGTGACGAAAGCATGCATTCCCGGTGACAGTGAATAAATATGATCAATGCACATCTGTACATATCTACCAAATAGTGACAAAAGTGAAATCAGGTGGAATTCGGTAAATACAGCAAATAGATATCTGTTATCGCATTAATGTTGTAAATTTGACAAATACGTGTCAGCATATCAGGAGAATATGTCAAATACAGGTACAGACAATAGGTCAATATGACATGTAAATGTTTATATCTGTATGACAATAGATACATACGACAAGTTGATAACTTAAATTGTATGACATTAAGCAAATAAGAAAAGTCAATATTTGTAACTATATGAACATAGGTAAATAGGACGCTTTAATGTCTGTAAATGTATGCTAATAAGTAAATATCACATGTAAATGTTTATATCTGTATGACAATAGAAACATACAAGTTAATCACTTTAAGTGTAGGACATTTAAGCAAATATGAAAAGTCAATATTTGTAACTGTATGAACATAGGTAAATATGACGCGTTAATGTCTATAAATGTATACTAATAAGTTAATATCACATGTAAAAAGAGGTTATCACGCGAGTGTGTTTGGGGATGGTAAACATAGCGTTTATTCCTAATACAGGATATTTACCATCCCCAAACACACTCGCGTGATAACCTCTTTATCATATAATGTCATTCTTTAATTCTGTGTTTCAAAATCGCTTTCCCTCTCTCACAAACATTACCGAAACATTGCGAGTTTTCCTGGAATGCGCGCATTAATATTTATTACGTCACAGGGTAAGTGATGTGTCAGTCGGACAGTGACAGTAGCCAATATAGTTCCAACTGATATCTGTTTCTTATACAGTGGCGAAGCAACATATACGCAAAACGCAAATTGTTTTTCATTGCCTTTCGCGGCAATCCATCGGTCTTACCGCTAGAGTAACTGCCCTTTGTCAAAGGGAAGCTACTCTAACCCTAGTCTTTGAGACGTCACGGCCACGGTCAGACGTTGTTGACAGTCGGTCTGTCCTGTCATAACGTTATGAAGTGTAGTCAGATGTACACACAGCGACAAAACGAAACAAGGTAACAATTCAAACATATTTCGGCCAAATCCAACTTTTTTAATTTGTGGAGAAGGTTTCAAGCCGCAGAGGTCTACAAGCACAGATATGGCTACTGATCCCGCTTGGCTAGGCCTAGTGCCCTAGCAAAATTTATATCTCCAAAGTTGCCAATACTTATAAAATGCCTTATAGCTACGTCACAGTTAGACACCGATTTTCAGTATATTAGACTATTCTTTTGATAATGATAGCAATTATTCCTGTAGTTTATCCAGATTCCCGATGGTTAATTCTGACTCGATCGCCGAATGACGAGGGCGACGCCATGTTTGTTTATAAACAGTGAAAGTAGTCCCTACTTGACCTTTGATATTTGCATCTCTATCCGCATATGACCCCGACGGATATCGTTTTTATCCGTCGGCTTTATCCTGCCGAGAAACCTACCCATTATATGATAAATGTTTATATCTGTATGACAATAGATACATACAAGTTAATCACTTTAAGTGTATGACATTAAGCAAATATGAAAAGTCAATATTTGTAACTCTACGAACATAGGTAAGTATGGCGCGTTAATGTCTGTAAATGTACGGCAATAGGTACATACGACAAGTTATTGTCTGTAACTGTTTAACAATAGGTACATATGAAACAGTAATGCCTAACAGTTTGGCAATAAGTACAAAAGACATGTTTATTCCCTGTAACTGTAAAAATAGGTCAATGTGACATGTTGTTGTCTGTAAATATATGATGATAGGATAATATGATACATGCATATCTGTAACTGACTCACCATAGGTAAATATGATACGTCAATGCCAGTAACTGTCTCACCATAGGTAAATATGATACGTCAATGCCAGTAACCGTCTCACGATAGGTAAATATGATACGTCAATGCCAGTAACTGTCTCATCATAGGTAAATATGAAACGTCAATGCCAGTAACTGTCTCACCATAGGTAAATATGATACGACAATGCCAGTAACCGTCTCACCATAGGTAAATATGATACATCAATGCCCGTAACTGTCTCACCATAGGTAAATATGATACGTCAATGCCAGTAACCGTCTCACCATAGGTAAATATGATACATCAATGCCAGTAACTGTTTTACCATAGGTAAATATGATACGTCAATGCCAGTAACCGTCTCACCATAGGTAAATATGATACGTCAATGCCAGTAACCGTCTCACCATAGGTAAATATGATACGTCAATGCCAGTAACCGTCTCACCATAGGTAAATATGAAACGTCAATGCCAGTAACTGTCTCACCATAGGTAAATATGATACGTCAATCCCAGTAACTGTATGGCAATAGGTAAATGTGACAATCTTATGTCTAACTGTATACCAATAGATATATATGACAAGTTAATGTCTATATATGGATAAAAACAGGTGAATTGGAATATGTAGTCTTTTCTACACTGAAATGACATTACAAGCTATGGACTTTGTGGAAACTCGTAATCAAATCAGAAGCACTTTGCTGTGATTTGAAACCTCCTCCTGTCAAATCAGAGCTATTCTTTTACCAAGTCATTGGACACACAGGAGATGAATGACATCACCTCCTGTTTTAACATTTTAGAAATACAATGTCCGGCTACGGCATCTATAAGTTTGGCGGTTCTAGTAGGGGGTGGTGAGTGCAGGCAGATTTTGAGCTAAGAATTCGAAGGCATTACCTGACTGTTTTGGAAGCAGCCCTTCTTTCCTATCATCCACATATACGTATACGTGTTTCCATGAGCATTTGAAATATTACTGTGAGATCAGTTTCTTTTGAATTTCGGGTATCATAGCTCTACAGTGAGCTATGTATCATTGTTGACTCCATGTCGACGGAGTTAGTTTCACGACAAGATTTCCAACTGAAGACACTACCTCTTAACTGCAGATAATTATTAGCTGGATAACAAAGGTGATTACTATATACACGTGTGTATCCTACTGTTATTATACGAACTCGATCTCACTCGGGACATTCTGACACACGTTACGTAAATGTTGACAAGCACACTCATATAATACACATCTTAGGAAACCATGACAAAAAGTGCAGTATTACCTTCATTGTGCATATTGTAATCCTTCCGATTGAAGGAGTTTACATTTTATGTAATAGAACAAACATTTACTTTTTATCTAAGGCTAAATTATATTTGTGAACTCGCTTTTTTGTTTCAGTCGATAACACTAAAGAAAATTACGGAACTCAAGCTCCCAACTCTAATGAAACCTGACCGTGTGAAAGACAACAACTACGCTCACGGTTGAACTTGTTACATGAACACATTTCTCTATGAGAAAACAAGACAAAACATTTCATAGCCTTGACGTATGTTTGTGTAAAAAGCACGTATAACAGTGACATAAGACGATGGATGGTTGATAAAACACGCGGAATGACAATTGCTTATGACGGGAACATGGGCAATGTTTACAAATTACCGGTTACATAAACCATGGTACCTTTTGACCGGAGCCCATGGGGAGATTCCTAATTACTCATACTACAAGCATCCAAAGAAACGCAATATTTAGCTTAGAGTTTAAGATGTACGATATTCTACCTTATGTTCTGACTTACGTCAGAGACCATGCCCGTACTTGTTGGAAGCGTCTAAAACCTGTATTAGTTTCGGTTGTGCTCCCACATTATAAGCTGACGGGCTGTAATATAAACTGAGGGACAAAAGAAAGTATTCCGAGTTTGTCTTTTATGCAACTGAAAATTGAAAGAACTTTTGTTAAATTTGATTATGCCTATTTAACCCTCACTCATTCCAACAAACAGTTTGTGAAAAAGTAACCTGAGACTATGTAATTTTGTGTAAAAATGAAATGGTTTAATGAAGGCTGGGGTAAAAAATGAATTTGCAACCACAAAACCCCTACCGTGTTTGAAATGATGTAAATTTGTGCCGAAAAAAGCAAATGTATTCATTTTCAAAGAGAATATGTCAAAGATGCCAATCAGCAGTTGTGTATTATGTGTTTATTTTATATAATTAAAAAAAATACACATAATTATCTTTTAAATAATAGTGAGTGAGTGTGGTTTTGCGCCGCTTTTAGCAATAGTCCAGCAATATCATGACGGGGGACTCCAGTTTAAATAATGAAAGCATGTAGAAGTATTCTTTGTGTGCTGACTTGGCGCCAGTACAGTTCATTATTTATATATAATCTGTATCTTAAGCTATTTTCAATTGAATTTCAAAGATATGATAAAATCAACTGCAAAGTATACTTTCTTTTGCTCCTCAGTTTAAATAAAATACTGTTAAAGCCAACTCATAGGATCGCACTTAATATTTATTTTATAAACACCGTGTTAAAATTGAAAGGACTATCCACATCACTTATATATTCAAAGTTACCAACTGACAGATCCCAGTCTTAATGCCAATGTACCTTA